AATGCGGAATGCGTGCTAGGGTGTCAGTGTGTCAGGCATGCCTGCCGGCACGGGGACGGGGGGTGTACAATGTGGCATCGCGGTTAAAAACATGGTCTCCGACGGGCTGTGATCTGGGTACAAATCCCAGGTATGCGTCTTCTGGGCTGTGTGACCTGTGCAAGCACGTGTACCTCTCTGAGCCTTGCGGGTGATAACAGAAGGTTGTAAGAGAAACGACCTCAAAGGGTTGCTATGAGTAAGCAATGGGAGATCTATAAAGCCTCAGGCATAGGGGGTGGTATCTGGTAAACACTCCACAAACATCTATTATTATTATTATTATTATTATTATTATTATTATTATTATTATCACCGCTAATGTCAGGATGAGCAGAAAGCAAGGTAGGGACAGCCACGGCAGGACAGTACAGGTGGTCATTGTACGGTTCTGAGTGAGCACCTCTCAGAGGACGAGAAGACGCAGAGTGCCTTTGACTGCATCGGTCAGCTGTAACCACGATAAGGGTGTGTAACAAACAACCACCACACCCCGGTGACGTGCAGTGAGAGGGGCGTATTTAGCGAACCTGACTGTGGCTGAGCTGGGCTCTGTGCTGAAGTTTGGGCTCAGGGTCATTCTGGGCCGGGCTGAGGGGGGCGATGACCACCTTGGAGGAGCTCTCCTCCCAGCCATGGCGGAAGCACGCAAGGTTTTCTGAGCCCTAGCCTTAGAATGAGCACACTGTAACCTCCACCTGACCCTCGTGGCCAAAGCTGGCCACGTGGCCAAACCCAAGGTGAAGGGCCAGGGACATAAACCCTGCCTGTCCCTTCAGTGGGAAGAATGGCGAAGTTGCCTGGCTGAAGGAGTGGGCCCAGGGAGAAAGGAGGAGCTGGAGCCGTTGATGCGTGTACCCCAATAACCAAACACCAGCCGAACCCCGCAAAGGGGCCTCACATTGCCCAGGCTTCCCTGCCTCACAAGCTTCCTCCTCAGCTCTTGGTCAAAATGTGGAAGACACCCTTAGCAGTAACATGTGTAGACTCCACCCCCATCTTCCCAACATCCGGACCTGCTCCAGGGAACCATTAATCTTGGGCAATTTCTTTCCTCACTTGGTTTGTTTATTTAAGGAAAACAAGTTGTTCCTAATTAGAAACAGTGCCGCGAAGATGCTCCGTGCCTCATCCCAGGCTGCTGGTGCGCAACCTCCTGCCTGGAATGATACCTGCGCTCCTAACATCTGTGAGTGTTTGTTTAGCAACCGTCCGAAAGCGCAGGCTTCTGGAGACAGGGACTTAGGCTGTTCTGGGGGTTGAGGGAGCTGGGGGGAGGGGAATGCACGGGCTTTGATCTAAGGCACACGGGAAACAAACACGCAACACCCCCCAGCACGCAGCCCAGAGCTGCCCTGATCGTGGCACCAACCCCCGGCAGGTGCACAGCGAGAGCCCGTTCAAACCTGAAGAGCAGGCAGGAGAGAAGTTCTAAAGGTTTGGAAGTGTTTTCTGTTTGGAGCCTCTCAGCAGTGTTTACATGCTCACACACACACCTGTACACCCCTACGGACACTCAGACCCTCGGAGATGCACATCTCGGAAACACACACAGCGCAGGAAACTCACACAAAAGTGACCTGGCCCCACAGATGAGCACACACACTCAGAAACACACAATGCACACCTAGAGATGTGCGGGGAAGAGCAGTGCAACATCCCAGGCACACACGCTGACACTCACACGTACACATGCAACATGCTCCGAAGTCACACTGCAATGCCCCAGCACACACATTTACAGACACTCACAGACACACAGAGACACACTCAAAGGCACATTGTAACCAATACACCCAGATACCGGCACTAGGAAACACAAACACTCAGAGTTACAACCATGCATGTAACATGGCACACAGACACACACACTCAGCAGCATACATGTACACACCAGTGCACAAAAAGTTTGCCCAGAATACACATATGTGCACACCCACAGAAGCACATGTACACACAGAGATGCAATCAAAAGCGTGTCTAACACTCATAGGTACACACAGAGACACAAGTTCGCACTCGCATCATCACTGCACTCACGTGTACACTCACAGACGCCCACACAGACGTGTGCAGACAGTGCGGGCAGCCCGCCGAGCACCAGCCCCTCGCCGCACAGCCCCTCAGAGTGCACACACGCACCTGTGCGGTGGTGCACAGGCCAGTCACAGAGGTGTACCCAACTCACGTGCAAACAAGTGCGTGAGCTCACAAGTGCATTCAGTCCCCGCACTCACACTGACTCACACCAGCACACGTTCTCTCGTGGGCCACGTACACGCACACGTACACATAAACCCATGCGGACGCACTCTCACCGCACACGAGCCCAAGCCTCCGAGAGAATACATACACTCACACACATACGTCCACACACATCCCCATCTTACTCCACCAGGAGGGCAAACTGTTCGCTTCCTCAGCCAGTTGCTCGGACCGAGCCAGCCCGCGGCGGCCCAGCCCCCGCCCCCGACCCTGCCCCCGTCCCTCTGAGCACCCGTTAACTCACTCCGCGTCAGCAGAGGTGAGGTCTGCCTTCCCCATGGCGGTTTCAGCGTGGAGCCCGGACAGCCCCGGTGTGGAGGGGGACGTCGCTGTCCCAAGCCTCGGAACCACTCAGAGACACATAAGACTGACCAACCTACTGCCTTCCCCCACGATCTCAGCAACACCCCGTGCCCCCCACCTCCACACACACGTGCACACGCAAGGCACTTTCCCAAGCGTGGCCGTTCCTGCCGGCCACAGGAGCCTCGCCGGCTCAGACAGCCTCTCTGCAGTCCGAGTGCCGACACCCGGACACACGGAACTTCTCTGCCCTGGGTCCCCAGAAAGCTGCAGAGTTGAAGCAGTGCACACAGCTCACCTCCACTTCCTCCACCTCCTGTTGTCATGGTGACATAACAGCTGGATGCCTCCATGCCTCCCCAGATGGCCCCGGGCTCCCCACTAGAAGCTGCTGGTCCAGCCCTGCTTTTAGGCAGAAGCGGCGAAGGGGCAGGGACTGCAGGTGCCAGGTGATTGCAGAGAACGGGGGCCCTGCCCCCCAGCCAAGGATCACCTGGTGCTCACGTGGGACAGGGCCAGCCTCCTTGGGGAAGACGGCAGCCAGATGTCCACGCACAACACCCGAAAACAGACAGCTCTGCTGCTGTGTCTGCGGAGCTCCACTCCCGTCTCCACGGGATCTGCTAAGTGCTTTCATGCACCATCTCGGCCCTCCTGACAGCCTTCTGAAGTCGCAACTAGGAGCTCCCCGTTGTGTGGTGGAGGGAACACAGTTTGGAGGGTGACGGGTGGTCAAACTCAGATGTGCCTCAGTCCCAAGCCCCTGAAACACGAAATTACCCCTACTCCTGGGATTTAGAAAAAATCTCTTCTGTGATCATTGCTCAGGGTCATAGAGTGTCTGAACTGGGACCTCTGAGGATACATGAAATCTCTTCCTTTTATACAAGCTGGGACCAGAGAGGTCTAATGATTTTCCCAAAGTCACACAGCAAACTAAAGGCAGACTTGAAACTGAACCTCCTGCCCCAAAGATGGGGTCCCCCCAGGGCAACAAGAGTGGGTCTCTGATGCCCTGGAGAAATGTGTGGGTCTCGGCAGCCTAAGGAAGAGACTCCTAGCCTGGCTTCAGGTCAGGCTCCCAAAGAACAGCAAGAGGACCTCGGACCCCCACCTCATGCCTCAAGTGCTGTCTGAGACCCACACAGCAATGCTCTTGCCCAGAGGCAGCCTCCAGCCCCAGCAGGCAATTACAGGGCCAGGGAAATACGTCCCCCCTTCGGGCTGTGGCTGGAAGTGCCTCCCCTGCCTGCCTCACAGACCAGCCCCTCCATTCAGATGACCCCAGCCCCAGGCCGAACCCCCAGCGAGGAAGCACAATGCCTTCCAGAGGGCTGTGGCCACAGGGGTAGCTCCAAAATGAGCCTTGGAGACAAGGTGGCCTCTTTGAATCATGCTTTTCATTAGGAGGAAGAATAATCCGGCCAAACTCATGAGCTGTGTGCTGGCCTCCTCAGAGCCTCTCGGGGCCTGCGGTGTGGGGGACCACCCACGTCCTCGGAGCTGGGGGCGAGAACGCCAGAGGCCCCCATCCAACGGTCCAGTCCAGCTCCTTCTCTGCAAAACCTTCGCACCTCCCGAGCTCCGACCTGAATGGTCTCATTGAGTGGCCCAGGAAACTTCCCCCAATCTTGGGGTCCTCTCGGGAGCTGCAAGGAACGGAAGGTGGTCCCCCACCTCTCCTGGGGTCACCGCCAGGGAGGCGAGTCCTCTCCTGCTATGGCACTTGGGGCTGCTGGAAGGGCTTGGATGGAGGTGGTCCAGCTGAATGGGTCCCCCTGCCCCTCAGTTCTCTCCCTCTCCTTACACACACACACACACACACACACACACACACACACACACTCCGGGATGAGCATAAGCAAGCCTGCAAAGCACTGGACACAACGCCCATCACCTGGGCAGCCCTGGGTGCTGGTTGCAGACAACAGGGAACCTCGTCTAGCAAAGGATCACCCCCAGCAAATCCCTTGCAAAACCAACTTGAAAACAGGACGCGCTTCTCCCTCAGAACTCTGAACTCACCAACAAAGGGGTGATACATCAGTCAAATTAAAAGGGTCCCCCGCCTTGCCCCTGGCCAGCTCAGCCCGAGAAGCCTGTGAGCGCCTGCCTTTGGGGACCCAGCAGGATGTCCAGGAGAAGGATGCCCTGGATGAGCCAGAACGTCCCATCCTCTGCCAGAGGAAAGTTTGTCATTTACCCAGAGCCCGGCTGTCACCACTGTAGGTTCTTTACTCACCGGGCTCTGGACGCTGAACCCCCAGCCTGCGGAGAAGTGGCTAGAACTGGAAGCCCGGGCGGGGGGCAAGAAGAATCGTTTCGCAGTAGCAGCTCGGCGCCCCACTCCCGTAGGGAACCCTCTTACCCGGCTCAGCCCGCGCCAACCTTACCTGAGAGGGTCTCAGCCACTTGCAAACTCCTCCCGCGGAGCCCCGCGGGCGTCCGGGATTCCTCTCTGAGACTCCCTCGCCCCGCTCGCTCGGCGAGCCACTCCGCGGGCGCCTTCCCGGCTGGCAGCCGCTGCAGTGGTATTAAGGGAAGCGGAGCTGGGTTTCCTTTCTGGCCACCGAGGCTCCTCCGGCCGGGCCCGGGCGTTACTTCTCCGGGTCTGGTGCAAGGGGCATCCTCCGCCTCCAGCGGGAAAGTGGAAGTGTGCGTCCTGGATTGCAGCAGCGGCGACAGCGGTGGCCGGGGACGAGGAGGCGGTGGCGACGCCAGCCGGCGAGCAGGGGAGACGGGCGGAGGCAGAGGAAGTGAAAGCCGGGCTCCTGCGAGCCTGGCGCTCGGGCGGGCGGCACTGCGGGGACCCCGCGCCACCGCGAGGCCCCCGCTCCACGGCGAGGCCCCGCGCGCACACCCGTCCCGGGGATGCCCGGGCCCGGGGCGCGCGGGGCGCGGGCTGCGACTGGACTCGAGCCCCCGCCGCCTCGCCTCTCGCTCGTTTGCCTCCTCCCTGCCGCGATCGTCGCTACCTTGGACTTAATGTCTCCAGCCCCAGCTCCCCGCGCCGCTGCCGCTGCCGCTGCCGCCGCTGCCGCCAGCAGAGCCTCGGCCCGGCGCGCTCCTCACACGGAACCACAGCACTGCCTACCGCTTAACTCCTTGCATGCCACCTGGCCCTCCCGCAGCCTCCCGGGGAGCTGGGCAGACCCGGTGCCAGGCCTGCTGCGGAGCTCGGGCCGGGGCCTCTGCCTCCCAGCCTCAGTGTACTCGGCTGGAAAAACGGGCTGGAGAGACCCCGTCCTAGGAGCGTCTGGGGAATTAACTGAGACTATTACGCCAAGTGCCAAGCTGCCTGGCATTGAGCAACCGCTCGGTAAATGGCAGAGTTTTCGTTGCTGCCGCTGCCGCTGCTGTTGTTCACGAGACTTAACAGGGCACCTCACAGATGGCAACCACCCAACAGAGGGCAGTTTGGCTTTTGGTCTTGGGTTTGTTGTTTTCGGAGGCAGTAGGTTTAGGCTGTGTGACCTCAGGCCGATCACTTACCCTCTCTGAGCCGGTTTCAGAAGACTCTTTCCGAGCTCTGGGGCTGTGGGTATGTCTCAGCACCCACTCTGAACCTCCGTATCTGCATCGGTCAAGTGGAAACAATAAAGAAGGATAGATACTCAGATCTGCAAAGGACCCACAGCAAAGCTCTGGGAAAGGAACCCGTCTTCTGATGTGGCACGCGACAAGGCCCACCTTTGACAGCGCTCCCTAGGTGCTAGACACCTAGTTAGGCGGTTTTAAGCACGCTGTCTCATTAAATCCTCTAAACAACCCAGGAGGCAGCTAGTTCCCTCTCTGTTTCTCAGACGGCAGAACTGAGGCCCACAGACATCAAGCGGCTCACCTTTGGTGGGCAGAGCTAGAAAGTAGCAGAGCTGGGGTTTGAACCCTGGCCTCACTGACTCCAAACCAGGGTCTGCTAAGCTTGGGACTCAAGGAGAGGCTCTCAAGTGGCCATGAGCAGACTGTTCTTTGTTGGGACTAGCGATAAGAATTGGCACCTGCACTTAGTTTATGAAAGCGTATTGTTTTTCTAACGAATTCTTCTTTCATGTAGATAATTCAAAAATGCTGAAAAGTATGAAGAAACATTAGTCAAGTCTATTCTCACCACCAGAGATCATGGTTATTAACATCTTGATATATTTCCGTTCAGTCTTTTTTATACCTGCACGTAAAATCTGTCGACACAAAGAGAATCTCCCTGATAGCCCCCTGGGGATGGGAATGGGGCTCCCCATGAAGTAAAAGAGCCCCAGGGTTGGACTAGAGCAGGTGGGGCTCCAGCGCTGGACAAGTGTCCCAGGGCTGGTCACGTGTGACCCACGTGATCACCAGCTTATGCTTCAGCACCTATGCAAGGACGAACAACATCTTCCCCACTCGCTTGATGGGATTGTTGGGGGAAACGATAGATTCTAAGACGCCTTGAGAATGGCAAAAGCTGTAAAAGTACAATGGTGATATTATAATCATCGCCATCATCACCATAAAAATATAAAAGAACAGAACGCCGTGGCATTTGGTGGAGGTTAGAAGTAGGCGCTCTGAAGACAGGTCGTTTTCCCCCATATGGATGGCCACTTGCCCCGCTACAATTTCCTGCAAGACCCGTCTCTCTGTCACCGCTCCGTGAGGCCAGCGTTGTCATAAAGCCCATGTCCCTCCCTGTGTGTGGAGGGGCCAGGCCAGTTCCCCTGGTCAGTCTGGTTATCTTTGTGCCCTATTTGGTCATCTTTATCACACGGTCTCAATCACTACAGTTTTATAAGAGTCTTGCTATCAATAAAACATGTTCTTTCTTTTTTTTTTTTTGCCTGCAAGGTTACTCCTGGCCTTTTGCACTTGCCTATATGCCTCTGAGAATCCGTGGGTCAGATCCTTCACGCCATGGCGACGGCAACAAAGGACCTGCTAGGTTTGGGTTGGGACGGCATGGAGCCCACGGGTCAGGGTGAGGAACTTGCCATCTTACTAAGACTGAGTTTTCCCATCCCCTACCTCACACCACACACACAAATCGATCCCGGTGGGGATGTGCATCTAAATGTCAAAGGCAGAACAACAAAGCTTCCAGAACCTTATACATGGGACAATCTTTATACCCTCGGGGTAAAAAATGATTTCCCGAATGAAGCAAAAAGCACTCTCCATAAAGAAACACACTGATATATGTCATTCCATTAAAATCAGAAGACCCTCTCTTTCTGAAAAAACACCGTTAAAAAGAGCATAAAAGGTCAAACCACAGAAAAACAGATATTTCAACATGCATAACTCAACAGGGGCTCCAATCCAGAATTTGAAAATAATTTCTATAAATCGGTAAGTAAAAGGCAGAAAACCCAACCAACCAAATGTCAGGACGCCAGGACAGACATTTCACCAAAGCGGATGTTCAAAGAGCTAATAAAGCCCCTACAAGGTGCTCGACCTACCTACAAATCCAGGGCGCACCTGTTAAAACGGTAAGGAGACACAACTACATTAAAACTGCGAAGATGGGCGACCCCAAGCGCGGGTGAGAATGTGGGACAACTGGAAATGGAGTGTGCTGCTGGCAGGCGTGTGACCTGGAACAAATGCCCTGAAAAACCAAGTGGTGTTACCTACGAGAGACACTGTCCCTACGTCCAGCATTTCCACTCCCAGGATGCAGCTGACAGAAACGAGTGCTATGTCCATCCAAACACCAGTACAGGGCTGTTCGCAGCAGCAATTTCCCCAGCTCCCAACAACTGAAATGTGTGCCAGCAGTAGACTAGGCTAAGTATGTGTGTGTGTGTGTGTGTGTGTGTGTGTGTGTGTGGTCATGTGATGAATACTATACAGCAATGAACATGACCACCTCCCAGCCACACACAACTACACAGGTGAGTCTGACGAGCATAATGTTGAGTGATAGGAATGACACCAAAGAGTATTCGCTGTATGTTTACTCTTTTAAATTATATTTTATTGATTTTGCTATTACAGTTGACCTGATTTTTCCCCCTTTGCCCCCTCCACCTAGCACCCCCACTCCCTCAGGCAATACCCCCACCATTGTTCATGTCCACGGGTTATGCATGTTAGTTCTTTGGCTACTCCATTTCCTGTATGTCCCCATGTCTATTCTGTAACTACCTATTTATACTTCGTAATCCCCTCACTGCCTCACCCGGTCCCCCACACCTCCCTCCCATCTGGCCACCATCAAAACACTCTCCATATCCATGATTCTGTCTGTTCCTGTTTGCTTAGTTTGTTTTGTAGATTCAATTGTTGATAGATACAGGGTGTTTTTTTGTCATTTTATTGCTCATACTTTTGATTTTCTTTTTCTTGAATAAGTCCCTTTAACATTTTGTATAATAATGATTTGGTGATGATGAACTGCTTTATTTTTTTCTTGTCTGGGAAGTTCTTTATCTGCCCTTTTATTTTAAATGACAGCTTTGCTGGGTAGAGCCATCTTGGCTTTAGGTTCCTGCTTTTCATGACTTTGAATATTTCTTGCTAATCCCTTCTAGCCTCAAAGTTTTTTTGTTTTGTTTTGTTTTTGAGAAATCAGCTAATAGTCTTATGGGAACTTCCCTATAGGTAACTAACTGTTTTTCTCTTGCTGCTTTTAAGATTCTCTCTTTATCACTAACCTTTGGAATTTTAAGATCCACCCCCCCCCCGCTTTTTTCAATGTGTGGTTGCCTCTTTAGCACCCCCTACTGGGGATCTGGCCTGCAACCCAGGCACGTGTCCTGACTGGGAATTGAATCGGTGACCCTTTGCTTTGCAGTCCGGTGCTCAGTCCACTGAGCCACACCAGCCAGGAAACCTTTGGCATTTTAATTATGATGTGTCTTGGAGTGGGCCTCTTTGTGTTCACCTTGCTTTCACCTGTGTTTCCTGGACTTGCATGTCTATTTCTTTCACCAAATTAGGGAGGTTTTTCTTCATTATTTTTTCAGATCTATTTCCCATCTCTTGCTCTTTCTCTTCTTCTTCTGGTACCCATATGATGCAAATGTTGGACCTCTTGAAGTTGTCCCAGAGGCTACTTACACTATCCTCATTTTTTTTTTATTCTTTTTTCTTCTTGTCGTTCTGGTTAGTTGTTTTTTTGCTTCCTTAAATTCCAAATCATTGATTTGATTCTCAGTTTCATCCACTCTCAGCACCCGCGTGTTTGTTTCTATATATTAGGTAGAGCTGCTTTGACTTTGTGTCTTGGTAGTGTGTCCTAATGGAGTAGAGGTCCTGAAGGGTTCAGTGGCACAGCCTCCCCTCTCACCCAAGCTGGGTACTCAAGGAGTGCTCTGAGTACACCCTCCTCCTGTAGTTGAGCCTTGGTTGCTGTCGGCAGGTCAATGGGAAGCATTTACCCAGACCAGTCAGCTGCAAGGATTAGTTGTGGAGGGCACCAAACTCTGCCCTCCGTGGAGGGTCAGCTGTGCAGGGGCAGGGTGCTGGTGCTCCAACATGGTCTGCAGCTGTCCCCTGGGTGCACAGGCTCTGGGGTTTCCTGGGTGGTGCAGGTCAAGGTCAGCCCCGACCTGTGTTTTGTCCAGGGCCTGCCTGCCTGCACTATAACACAGTCTGAGATGGCTGCTACTTGTGCTGGGCTTGGAGATTCCCAGGTGAAGCCAAGCAGTGAATCTAGCCAGCTTGTTTGAGAGGATTTAGCAAGTTGTGTAGCATAAGCCAACACCAGACATTCATATGGAAAAGCAGCTGGGGTGGGCCCGCGATTTGGGAGGGGCGGAGTCTCTGGGGATCTCCAAGGCAGGTCAAACAGTGTTAGCCAGGTTGAGGGAGTCTCAGACCTGGCACCAGTCTGCGGGCTCTGCGGGGGAGAGTTTAGAAAAGGGACAATGGCCTCTGCTCGCCTTGACGCCAGACACTTCAGTTTCACCTGTGTGCCACCAGTACCCCACAAGTCACCACCTCGTCGCAGGAGCCCAGAGGGAGTGAGTCTGAGTAGGTGAGTCCGTGTGTGGGTTCTTTAAGAGGAACTTCTTGGGGCTCCAGCAGTT